TTCATTCATTGGAATATCAACCATCATTTTAAATTTAAAATTTTGTGTATATTATTCTCAAGATAATTTGTATAAAATTTTAAAATTAAAAACAAAAATATTAATATGTGCACAAGATATGTAATTTTTATTGACTAAATATTATTTTAATATTAATAATAATTAATCATGAAAACATCCAAGTTAATTTTATATTCTAAAATAAATCTTATAAATATTAAAGAGACTAAGTTCACTGAACCCATTTTATAGTGACTAACTCTATTTAATTTTTTATAATTACTCCCTCTACTTAGTATTTATGCTTTAGGTAGATAAAATTATTAAAGATGGTAATTATTTTCTTGCGATTTAACACAATTAATCTCTTCCTAGTTAATCTACTTATTCGGTGGTAATAAATGTTAGTGTGAGTATTGTCTTGTCTGCCTCTTTGACATGTGACAAATTTGGCATTGAAATTCTAGTAGGTTCCTTGATGCAGTGGTCCACTAGTAATACTACTGAAAAACTACTCACCAATTTAGTGCACTTTGCATAATGTCTACACCTTTACACAGGAAAAAATGGTTCTAATCAGAGTTCCATTCTCATGTTAAAAAGACAAGTTAAAGTGACAAAATATTGTAAAAATAGTGTTTTAATCATTCTCAAATAGATTTCATAATTTGAGAAATTAATCCTTAGATTTTGCTTAAAAACACTTTAAATTCGCTTTAAAATCATTCATAAATAAGGGTTTCTATCTATAAATACCATTTTTAAATAACTCGTTTCTATTTTTTCATGCACGTTTGTTTTATTTTAAACAACTTGTTTCCTAATAAGCTTTTCCGGCAAAAAAGAAAGTTACTACCCCACATATAAGCTTTTCTATCTTGAAATAAATGTGTCCACATCTCACTCTGTCTCTTTTGGAATGTCGACTTTTCTCTTCCCTATTCCGAAGGGAAACCGTTTTTTCAACATATATAGACATAACTTTTGATCAGTTGATTGCTGTAAATTAACCACAACAATGCATTATTTCCCTTCTAATTTGAGCTCGTGTTCTTATTTGCTTGAGTTGAAGCCTAAATTTTTCCTTAATTTGTTTCCAGAGATTACAGCACGTCATTGTATATTGAAATCAAACCCCTAATCCCCGAGTCTACATTTTCGTTCGTTATGCAATCATCGTCGATAAAATATTGCAAGTATGATTTGTTTGTTTACACCTATTGCGAGTATGACTTTTTTGTTTACACCTATTGCAAGTATGATTAAACAATGCAATTAATGAATAAATCTTATTATTCATCATTATGTTTCCTTAATAAAACTGCTCTAGTATGGGGACTATAGTCGGAAAAGTCTCAGTGATACAAGTACTAAGAAAATCTAATTAATAATTATCCTAACTTAGAAGTTACGACACTCCTCTTATGTGTTAAAGTGTGTCCTTTAGATGTCAACCTTCCTTTGACGCTTAAGGAAGATGACCCATATAGGTCGATAATAAGATGATTGAAAGGAGATGTCGGTCATGTGGTGACCGTAGGTGGTACATAAACCTCCAGACTCTTCATGCATAAGCTGTAGAGCCTCAAAAGTAACAATCGATAGTAAGATCACTAAAGGGAATGTCAATCATGTAGTGATATGGGGAATGTCACCGAAGAAGTCTCAATGATATAAGTAGTAAGAAAATCTAGCAACTATCTTAACCTAGAATCTTCAATAAGTGTAAATTGTCCCCAATCCTGAGTTTCTATCCCTATATATGAGAAGGGATTTGTTTATTTCAAGAATAAGTCTACCTAGACTTACTCTGTTCAATAATTCATGTTTTACATCAAATGTCAATGATCCAACCATTGAATTTAAAGTTCTTAATGCATAGATCAAATCTGCAAATTTTAAAGATTTTGAAAACTATTCATTTCATTAATTCAAATTGACAGATAACATGCTTTTATGATTATCCGTTAATTTGAATTAATGAAACGAAATATCAAATAATTTTCAAATTTTATAAATTTGATCTGTTCATTAAAAAATTTAAATTAACGGTTAAATTGTTAAGATTTGATATAGAGCATGAGTTATTAAACGGTGTAAGTCTAGATAAATTTACTCCTTGAACAAACGGATCACTCTTTTTTCTTTCTCTCTCTATATATATAGATAGATATGAGAGAAGTTATAATAATACTGGTATAACTTTTATTAAGTATTAGAGTCTCTAATTTTGTTGATGATATAATATCCTAATGTTCCCTAAACATTGGAATTCGTTATCGTTATCAAATGTATTTGTCATTGGTAACAAATGATCTTTTGATTTATGACACTTCTCTTATGTGTTAAAGTCTATCCATTAAATGTCAACCTTCTTTCGACAATTAAGAAAATCAACCCGTATAAATCAGTAATAAAATGACTAAAAGAAATTGCCAGTTATATAGTGACCGTAGTGATAAAAAAAAACTAACCTACAAATTGCCGCCAAATATCTATATACGTTATCTGTGGGGATCTCCATCTGTCCCTATCTGTAGAAGAGGGAAAGGCAACAAACTATCTATAATATTAATATTTCAACTCGTAATACTAATTGCTTCATGATAAAATTGATTACATGTTTCCTTTTTTATTTATCAAATAAACCATATATAAGAATCACCAGTGATGTAAGGCTCTACCAAAATCTAAATAAAGGTCTTTTAGCCACTCTTATTTTAGTAGTTATCCAGTATTGATTTAAAACAATTAAGTGTTTTAAAAGTAAGTTGGTTATGAACTTATTTTTATTAATGTCAACGTAATTAAAACAGGTATCACTTTTATTATTCTATCTTCAAGTTGGTATTTAAACCTGTATTTCCGTCACATCATTGCTACATAATTTGTTTCACCTCCTTTTAACAAAGGTATAACTAATAGGCCGCCATTGAATGATTAGCGGATTCTGTGTAGCTAACATCTCTTTTTTTATATTGGGAAAGATAATTGTACAATAAATTTAACATTATTTTAAGTGATTATTTCTCTCCATTATAGTACACTTATTAATATTGAATAAAGATAAACACTTAACATTATTTCATGAGAAAATATGCACATTATTTTCGATTCGAACTTTGTTATCGTTACTGCAATTTCAACTAATAAAACATACAAAAGTTGGTATATAAATTATTATATGAATTGTTGTATATCATTATTTGTTTTAAAATTATTTATATTAGATAAATATAATTAATAAAATGTTAAAAGTTAAATTTTACTTGAAAGTTGTAATAAATCTTATTAAATTAAATAAAATTGGTAAAAGTATCTGTTAAAATAATTAATAAACATATAAAACAAAATAATAAAAAAAGATGAATAAAATCATGCAAACGTATTTTTTCTTATAATTTTTAATTTACTTTTTAGACAAAAATATATTATTATATTAATAGAGACAAGACACTTCATATTTCTATTAAAAATAAAATAAAATTAAGAGTAAGTAATAAATGTATGTTGGTCTAACTAGTGTTATAGTTGATTTTTAAACCTCTAATTTTGAGTTCAAATCTTAGATTTGATTAAAAAAATATTAATTTTTTAATTTTATTTAATAATAAAAAAATATAATAGTCTACCAAATATAGAAATTAAGATAATTATCAAAAAGAGTATCACATTTATATATTAACTAGAGTAGTTGAGACGCTTCGTGCCTATAATAATTAGTTATACACAAATAGGATATTAGAAAATTAAAAGTAATTATTTAAAGGATATAAGATTTTTTTTATCCAAAGAGTATAATGATCCACTAAAAGATGAATATCAAAAGTGATTATATAGTCAAATACCCTCCTTTATAATAGATATAGATATAAATAATTTTAAGTTAACTACCAAGATTAACCTAGTGGTTGGAAGCAAGGGATTAGAGTGGTTAAAAGTATAGGGAGTTAGTTAATTTTGATCTCTATTTTAACCATCTTTCTAGTTTTTCCTATCAATACAAAAAAAAAAATTATAAACTTTAAACTCAAATCATTCATTTAAATATAAATTATTTTATTAAAAATAAATACTTAAATATATTTCTATCCCCAAAATACATCATCTTTTAAATTAGTCTCAATTTAAATTTTATTTATTTTTATTCTCTGAATCGTTAAACTTCTAATCTAAATAAAAAATTATAAAAAACTGAATGACATTTTTAAAAACCAAAACATATTTAAACTAGATAAATATTATTAAGAATATAATATATTAAAGGTAAAAATAAAGGTTAAAATGTTATATATCAATCAAATAAAACCAACTTTTAAACATCACTAATTTAGTTACATAAATGTATAAAATAGCCGAGAAAACTACCCAAATACATTGCCGGAATAAGGATTCTCAATTTCTTGTTATATTTAGATAACCATGTGAGCGATTTTATCACGAGTCAAACAACTACGAAACATGGCTATGCCGTAGTGTACTAGCCGTATATAATATAAAACCGATCATCAACTTGACTCTTGTAAGACTTTGAGAGGGATTAACAAAGGATATTCTTTCGTCAACGACCACATAAATCATACATACGTATAATGGAATAAACCAAAGAACAAAGTGGACCACTTTTGAGTTTTGACTGGCTTTGATTGCTTGTGTTTGTCATCTGTCTCACTCCGAAAAAAAAAACTCAAAAGTATAGCTCCAATTTGCCTAATTATAAGATAAGCATTGCAACCAATAATACAAGCCAAGTTCCATCAAATCCATATTTTAGAAACACGGTCACAGCATGACAAGAGTTTACACTGTTTAAATAGGGTTTATTGGTTCTGAGCTATTTGGTGGTTGATGATAGGTTGGCCATTATATTAGCAATTAAGTTTATATGATGTTATCATATTACCATATCACGAATTATAGTCACAAATTATGGGGCTACATGGATAAGATAGCACTCCATCAAAAATGTAAATTAGAAAACACCAAAAACAAAAAGAAAATGAAAGGAAAGTCCAACCTACCAATCCCCTTAATAATTACTACCAAAAGCTAATACATTAGGAGACAGTAATCATGAACAATCAAATTTTACAGCGAGGGTAATCTGAAATCACAACGGTTGTATTGAACAAAAAGAAGTGTGGTAAAGGGAAAAAAAAAAAAAAAAAAAAAAAAAAAAGCAATTTATAATATATTTATATTTAGAAGAGAAGGAAAAAATGAGAGGTACCAAGGAATAAAGCTTCCACGAACTGCTGTTCCAGAAATCCAAATTTGTATATGAATCCCTCCGTGTACAATGCAGTTTGATCTGCTCTTACCCTGTAATGGCAGGGTGTGGCTTCTATACATGAATGTGATGTGGATTATTTGCAGATTTTATATATAAGGTATCCCTCGGCTACCTTGCTTGATCTTCTCTTGCTTTCATGAAAAGCCTAACACCCCTCCCCCTTCTAACAGTACTATGACTGCCTCTCTGATACAAAAAGCTGTCGTTGTCTTTGCTAAACTGCGTCGAGACCTATCTTAGTATCCGTGGTAGAAAACCAAGTGCACCAGGAGAGGGCACAAGTAAATTATCTTATTTCCAAACACATCACTCACGTACTACTCAACATATCATCTGACAGTTCTAAACATTCCTCTGGATTGGCATAGAAATAATCCTCTTCTTTGGGCCTGTCAGGGATTACCAATCTTTTGGTTGCACCACCCATGCGATCGGCATGAGCTTCCTTCACAGCTGAAGAGAATTCATCCCAGTTCAATATTCCATTGCTGTATTGATCTATCAAATCAACCAGGAGCTTTCTGTTCAATAAAATCGTCTTCTTGAAGCCAAGATATCTGTGCAGCAGAATTGGAGGACACAAGTCATCTCACTTGACGCTTAAGTACTTACAAACCATAACAATGAAGGGGAAATTTCAGAGTAAAATAGAATTGTGCTTAAACTATCAATCTATGGTAGAAACTGCAATTTTTATGTTGGCACCTCATCTCTTGTAAAAAAAACAGCTAGATCATCCATCAGAAGAGGATACAAAAATTGTGTAATGGAAAAGTATTTCAAGATTTGATGTGCACAAAAAAATTGTATACAAAAGAAATACACTAAAACAAGTGACAGATTAATATTTCAAGAATTGCTAGTCAGGGTAGTAGGAGGGGGTGGGGAGTGTAAATCCTAAAATAACATTTCTAGTTAGTCAAAAATTTTACCTGCGGTGGCCCTCAACTACTTTGGCCATATTTCCATCATATGTAGGCACAAAGATATCACTCTCTAATGAGACAAGGTAATCCAATGCCGCCATCTGGGAGGAATGATTTTGGAAGAACTGAAGGTCAGATGATTCCAACAGTGTTTCCTTTCTAACCTGTATCATCAAAAAAGCACAAAAGCAAAACAGTGAGAGGAAATTAAACAGCAACAAGCATCACAATTTGCAGGTCTACTTCAGCCTCAAGTTAGTTACCAATTTTGGATAGTCCTTCGCAAGACTTGCCATTCTCCTTTTCCCACCATATATTTCCCCGGCTGCGATGTAGATTTGAATGTTTTGATCGATGTCTAGGGCCCTAAGTGTAAGGGCAGTCTCCTCAGGAGTTAAAGGACACAAACCATCTTTTCTTTTCAAATCAGAATTAATTATTTTTTCTTTCCACCAAGGATAAGCATATCTGCCAACAACAGTAAATCAATATTTCAGAAAGATTCATAACAATTGTTGAGAATTTCACCTCTCAAAAAATATTGTTGAGAATTTCCAAAACTAAGGAGCAGTTTAAATAAGCAGAACACTTGCCTCATCCTTGTCAATTCTTCCACCTCTTCGCTGTTGCAACCTTGCGTACAGCCAGAAAATGCTAGCATGTCCATCTCATACCTCAGATGAAGCACCAAAAAAGGGCCATTTTGCCTCAGAAGCTTGATCACCCTTCTGCCTAACTCCTCAATCTGAGAAGTAAATCTAAGAGCACTAAAATTGACTCTGCAACGCAACCTCTGAACCTCCAAAGGTTGACCATTATTGGCCAGCCGGGCATCTGTTCGATTTAAATGGACAACTTTGTACTTTTGTATCAAAGGTAGAATCTGAAAGAATAATCATGCCATATGCATTTCAATCAGCAAACAAGAAACAAAATAAACACAAACATAGTACTATAAAAGCATGTTCTTATAGCATCACAAAGCATGTTCAAACTTTTTAACCAGTAGGACCAAGAATTATAAAAACCGACCTGGTTCTTATAGTAAGATAAATCAGACCAACTAATCGGTGGCATGCTGTAAAACAATCCATTTTCCACTCTCGTCTTGAGTCTTGGAGGCAACTCTTTCAATATCCTCACCTCATCCCTCAAGGATGTAATAAAATGATCCACATCGAATATGTCTTGGAACTCACTGACACAAAAGTAACGAACACTCTGAGAAGAGATCCTTGATACAAAAAATATATATACATAAATGAGCCGAAAACGGTGCAAGGCACCAAACAACAGAGTGCATAAATGAGAGAAACGCTAAATAAAATAAAAAGCAGAAGATTAAAAAAAAAAAAATCATATCATGTGGCTTGATTTCTAAAACACTTGTTCTGGAAACAATCGTCCTAAATTATGGATTTTGGGTAGGAAAATGATTGATTAGTACTTAGTAGCATAGAATTGTTAAAAATGAGAAGAGAATGAAACACAAACACATACACCCTCACTCACAAACAACGATAGTTTCGCTAAAAAACAGAGACCAAAATGGGGTGAGAAACTAACCTGGGGTCAGCCCAAAAGGACGCTTTATCCAATTCCGGCACTATAAGCGTCACATTTAAATACCTTGCAATCGCCACCATGTCACATATCTGCACAACACAAGCGCATCACCGAATCAGAAAAATTCAAACCCACAAAAAAAAAAAAAGGCAAACGCACGTGGCAACCACTCACCGCCGCTCTCATTTGGTTCAATCCTCCATTGCACGACACCATCAAATAGCCGTTGTTTTTATAAACCCCTGCAATAAAAAAAAAATAAATAAAAAAAGGCATCAGACACGCAGTGAAACGCAGGAAAAACAATCGAAACGACGGAGAAGTGTTATGATGATGACTGACTCTTGGGAGGGAGAACCGCGGGTGTGGAAGACGGAAACTCAATGAGCGCGGACTCGTGGGTGAAGCAGGAAGGCCAGCCCTTCAAAACTCTGGGCCCCCACGTGTCACCCAACGCGGTTAACTGAACGACGCAGGTCCACAGTAAGACCGATGTGGTCGCGCGTATCATCCAGAGCTTCATGGTGGAAGGCCTCACCGAATTCTTCACCTTACCGTTGTTGGTGTTGCCGAAGCCCATCGTCATGAACCCTTCCCACACCACCCTCCCTCTCTTCCTCTCACTCTTCTCTCCCCCACCCAGCACCGCCTCCTTCATAAATGCACCCCCCCTCACCAACCCTAATTCGCCGCTCAATTTCCCCAATCCCAGATCCAAAACCCGCCGCCGCCACCCTCGCCTCCGACGCGCATTACCGACCGCCGAGATCTCCGACCTCAGATCGCCGGCCAGCGAGGGCGCAATTCTTACAATGCTCAACCAAACACCGGATAATAACAACGATAACCGAAAGCGCGCGTCTGTGTGTGTTCAGAGAAGCGCGTCCGAACAGGGACGTAACTCGTAACCAGACCGAGTTAACGAGCGAGCGAGAGAGAGAGAGAGAGAGAGGGTTGTGTTTCGTTGCGTTGTGTTATGCTGTGTAATGAGATTGAGGATTTATTTTATTTTTAATTTTAATTTTAATTTATAATTTATAATTATTTTTTATATTTTTATTGGGTGTGCCTCATTAAATGAGGAAGTAAATGCCGAGGCAGATGCGTGGGGCCCACTGCGTGTGCTCCGTCCAGATGTTCGGCTGCGATACGTGGCGAGCCTTGATTGAGGGCTTTGGGTGATTTCTCGTATCGCCCGCGCCGACATTATATCGCGAGATTTTGCCTTTGCCTTAGACTTAGTAATAACAATAACACTATTCAGTATTGACTATTCATTTTATGCGTTTTTTTCCTTTTTCTTTTCCTTTTCGTATCAATCGTGTTGCTTCTGCGCTCACCCGGAGAAGGAAACCAATGCTCTTTTTTTTCAGTGTCGGTAATTTTTGCTTCTTTTGTTCTAAAAGTGTATGCAACGGTTATAAATAATTTCCTGTGTCACATCACTGCTACATCAATTCTGGTCTATTTTATGAATTACTTAAATTTTGGCAAAATTTACTAAAATTGATGTGATACAGAAATTACTTATAAGTAATTTCTATTAGAGATGCTCTAACACAACCAGCGTGATTCCAACACTAACGATAATAAATTAATAATAACAGCAGATTGCGGAAATTTTCATTAATAGTATTTCTTTTAAGAGTGTAATTAAGGGTAATGTTTTTGAGTTATATACTAATAAAAATATCGTGTATATAATTTTTTAATGTATAAAAATATATATTTTATAACTGAATGATAATATAAAAAATAAAATAACATGTTAACGTGGTTTTCTTTAATAGTATTTTGTTGAAATTTAATGAATCTCCTTTTCTAGTAGGTGGACCTAAATTTTTCATTTTTAATACATTTCGATCAATAATAGAAAAAGTTTTAGAAAAAATCATTAGATTGATACAATGATTGAGGGTTGAGATAAATGTATAAAATTCTAATGTTATTATTGTTGCAATATTTTTTATTGGTAAAAATAAGTTTTAAAAAAGAGTATTAATAATATTTATAATATTTTTTTATTATTTAAATTAAATTAAATTGTATAAAATATACTACATGTGTGATAATTTTATTGATAGAAATTATTTATTTATTTATTTATTTATGAGCTTGATATATCATTTTTTTTTTAGAAGTCAAAGATTAATGTATCAAGATCTTGAAATTTATTTAAAAAGCTAATATTTTTAAAAATATTCTTGATACACAAAGATTTGGTGATTAATTTTTTAATTGTCTACCTGAATTGTGTTATACCATATTTTGCACTTGTTTAAAGACATACTTTTCATATCTTATCTTGTAAGGTAGATATTGGTGCATTAACTATGTTTCATTAAATTCTTACTTTTTATTTGGTCAAGGAGATTACTTATCATCTTTAAGGTATAAAATGGAATGAAATATTAAGTGTGTCAATTGAAAATGATTTTATAAAAGACTTTGCGCACTTCAAGATATTTACTTGTCCTTTATTCTAACAAAAAGAAAATCTCCATTCCTTTTCTAAGTTCAAGTACTAATGAAGCTTTTACTCCTTCAATTTGTTAAGGAATAACATACATAGGTTATTTCATTATCATACATCATAAATGATACATTTAATGCATTAGTGTTAGACAAACAAAGTGATTTGTTTGAAAGACTACATGTCATTATAACCAATCGTCTTTCTTATGTGATCTAAAAAATATTTCTTTATTAAAAACATTTAAATTTGTTAACATTAAAACCTGAGGGATCCAAGATCGTTCTTTGATCTAACAATCTCCACCTTTTTGGTGGTGATAAACATGTTTTTGAAAAATATAACTTTTATACACATCAGATGTAGTCAATTTCAACTTAAAGATGAATATGCAATCATACATAACATTTCAATCAGGTCATGTGATTGTCATTTTAGATGCTACATCATATCAAGTATTTTTCTATTAGATGATATATGATAAAGATCATGCAAAGCATATCAAATACCTCAGATCATTCATGTGAATTTTCTTGTCGAAACAAAGCACAGAATATCCGATCAAAGCAAATAAATGTTCTATTGTATCAAAGCATAAATTATCCAATCAAACCAATCTATATTATATTCAATCAAAACATACTATAGGATATGTAAACATAGCATATATCATTAGAGAGTAAAAAATATGCGATGTATAAACTTGTATAAAAGTTTTGTAGAGGACTAGCCCTAAGATGAGTGAAGTTTAAAAGGCTTAAAAGCTAAAAATATATTTTTACTACTCCGTCTTTTGAAACCAACAAAAGCTAGTATCGAAGAAAAATAAAGTGGTAGACAAAGTGATTAGTCCAATGATGATTCGTCGTTGGAGCTAACATCATGTTAGAGTTTGCTGTGCAACTTTTGATAACATTTGTCTAGGTGACATTGCTAACAAATTAATTTAGAGTGTAATGACTAGTATGGTGACAATCATCTTCAGTTCTGAGATTGCCTCTAATACTTTAGCGACTTGTGCATATAAAGGTTGTTACATCGACTCTTCCTATGTTGAGGAGGGAGATGGAATAACAGTTGTAGGGGGAATTGTATGTATACATAAAATAAATATGAACATGTAAAGAAATAAGAAAATGAAAACAAAATGGTGGCGGGGTTGATAAAGACTATTGCTGGCGGAGGGCTTGGTGGTAGGCGAGATGGATGATTGCAGAACACCTTTTCCCATGGTGAAGATGGGTTAATCTTTGTTTACTCTAAATGTTTTATATTTATGAGCTTTGACATAACCTAGATACCTTACGTCTTTGATGTATCTAGAGGGTCGTTCTTTCCCTTTGTAAAAAAAGGTTGCACAACCTTGAGTCATGACTCATCTTAATATAATGTCGTCCATAGTTGAATTTGACATGGTCTTCAGATTATGCCAATCATTAGAGGAAGGTTATGAGAGGAACCTTTGTAGCTAAGCTTAGTGGTGATCCTCATGCGACATGCTTCTTCATGCTCAAACTTGATCTATTTGATAAGCTACATAGCTTGATCATCTAGATGATCCTGATCATACAGATCAAGGTGCTTCACCTCCACCACAAGTTTAGGGCGAGGATAAAACACAATCCTTCGCCCGTCTCTATGAGAAAGAGACAGATACTCTTCCAAATTATAGTAAGATGACACTACAAAAAAAAGTCAATTTAGCCACCGAAATTAGCGACCGGTTTTTTTCAGTCGCTAATAGCGACATAATTAGCGACCGAATCTGATTTGGTTGCAAATTTTATTTAGCGACCGAATTTTTTAGTGACAAATAATCAGTCGCTAAAATAATAATTGTTGATTAAAATAGCGACAGAACGGTTTCGGTAGCATTGTCAAGTTAAAAAAAATGATATCAATAATTTGAGGTTCAAATTACAGGAGAATTTGGAGATATTTTGATTTTATACAACTTTATTTTAATAATTAATTTATAATTAAAAGTAGTTGAGAGTGCGTGGTTAAGCCAACAAGTACTCCTAGACTACTCCAGGTATGTTGCTTCGATAGCATACCATGTGATATGTGATGAGATATGTGACTGGCGCCACATGCATGCATTTATGAGTGGAGTCCATGACATCATTGCATGATAAATGAATGTGCATGTGATACTGATTGTGTATGTGTATTATTTATATGTAATTTGTGCTTGTGACTTGTATTATGTTTATTGTGTGTGTGCTGTCTAACATTTATTTTTGCACCTGAACCTAAGTGAGATGTTTCTCACTCCCTTGTTACTCTTTGTATGTGTTTAAATTATGTTGCAGGTGATCATCAACATGAAGATGTTGGTGATGAGACTTAGGCTTAGGTTGGGCGTGCTCTGATGATATGTGACATCAGGGCATATTTAGGACTAGTATAGGACTTTAGTTTCTTTCTTTTATTTTGGAAAACCTTTAACTTTATTTTTTTTGTAATTTTCGCAAGTGAATTATGATTATGTATGTGAATGTGAATCCTTTACCTCTTTGTTAATTGAGACTTATGTAATTGAGAAAGTTTTTATTCATTCTAATTTTATCTTATAATTATTGTATATAATGTCGGGGTAGAGGGTGTCATAGTTAGAAGTTCCATTATAAAAATTATTAAAGAAAGCAAAATATTTTTTGTAATTCTTGATTGTACCCCTAATTTAAGTTACCAAGAACAAATGACTTTAATAGTACGATATGTAAATATGTCAAATAATAAAATAAAAATTGAAGAGTACTTTTTTTAGAGTTTTTAAAAGTAGATGACACATCTGGATTAAAACTTTTTAATGAATTATGAGATGCGTTAAAGTCCCTTGATCTTAATATTGATGATGTGAGGGGTCAAGGTTATGATAATGGTTCTAATATGACAGGAAAACACCAAAGAGTTCAAATGAGGTTTCTTGGAATAAATCCAAGAGCATCATATATGCCTTGTGCTTGTCATAGTCTCAATCTTACGCTTAGTGATATGACACATTCTTGTGTTCAGGTTGTTTCCTTTCTTGGATTTGTTCAACGCATATATTCATTATTTTCGAGTTCTACAAAAAGATGAAAAATAGCTAAAAATGTATAAGTTGTTTTCATCATATAAAACGTAATTTTATAAGAGAGTTATCATTCATAAGGTTATACAGTCATCCAAAAAGATAATATAGTTACAACATCATGGAAACATCAAAATAAGACACCCTAGGTACTGATCAAGCTCTAAGTTTAGCCATTTCTCAAAGCAGCTACCAAAAGACTCCTTGCCATTCCAAAGCCTCACACCTGATCTGCTCCCCCACATAGTGCGATTATCACAGTTCACATTATGGAAATATAAGGGTTAGCACGTATAAATCCAACCATAATACATATAATTGAAATATCATCAAACCAGATATTTATCATCGACATTTATCCATACCAATGCATAGATAATCCATACTAATAAAGAATCCATAACCAATGTATACAATCCATACCAAATGCATACATATTC